CCGCGAGGAGCCCGGCCGCGTAGCCAAAGTCTTTGGGAAGCCCCCGTTTGCGATGCAGGGGCTGCCCCTGAGCTGCGCCCCGTGCCCGCGGCGGAGGGAGCCCGCAGGGCAGTGCCAGTACCCGTCGGGAGCAGAAGGTAGTGGGCCCCCAATGGCGCTGGGACTGTGTCCAAAAGATGCCTGCCTGTGCGCTGCCCAGCCATGGCACGCCCTCTCAGACCCTTGGGCACGGCCGGGGTCCACCTGGCAGGAGATGGTCCCACAGCACTCTTTGAAACGGAAGCTTAGAGACAGCGGTTCTAGCGGTCCCTCATTTTAAAGCCAAATAATAGTAATAAGCTCCGAGTGAGACAGTGACGTGCCTGGGGTCACCTAGAAAGACACTGAGGAGATGGGCAACCCACCCCTCTGCACTGGCACCCAGTGACCTGCCAAATGCACCAGGTGGGCACCATCACGACCCTCTGGCACAGATGCCCAGGCCCCCTGCCCGCCCTTCGGAGGAGGGCAGTGAGCCCCTGCCATGCTAGGGCTGGGCAGGCACCTGGGCTCCCTGGAAAGTGTCAAGGGCAGGGCCAGAGGCACACAGGTTGCAAGGCCGGTGCTTAAGAGAGAGCTTCCAATCCTCTGTACAGCCCACAGACGGGGTAGCCCCGGGTTGGTGATGTCCTTGGAGCCCACTCAGCCCCAAGATCACCCCTAAGCAGGGTGTGACTGCCCATCAGTGTCTCCTTCCCTCTCCCCGCCCTCCCCACTGGTTTCCTAGCCAGGCCTGGCAGGAGGAAATTTCACCCCCACAAAAGGCCATTCCCCAAGAAATTGGCAGCCTCCAGCAATTACTGTCAGATTCTGCTCTTTGTAGTCATTTCTCTCAGGATTAGTCGCGGGCTTAGGAAATTGGGTTACATTGTTATTTGAATTTACACACAAAGGGGTCCGAATGTTACCTCTGGCGAGCCAATTGCTTCTAGACCTTTGATTCCCTGCGGCTGAGGCACCCCTGACCTCCAATTATTCGAGGAATCGCCACCCAGCGGCCGCCGGGTTTTAATCAACCTTTCCTCTCTCAGCAGGTTAGCGCCCCGGCGGGATTTGCGGAAGCATCCTGGAAACCAGCCCTCCTTTCCCAGCTCACCTTCCCTCCAAGAAGCGGGGAGACCTCACCAGGAACTGGGGGCTCTCCCTGCGCGTAAGAGATGGACAGACACACAGAAACCAACCCTCCCGCAGGCTCTCCTTGCACGCGGAGCTGGCAGTGGGGGCACAGGGGCGGCACCCCAGATCCCAGAGGAAGTGGTAGGTTACCTTGGGGAAGGCGGGCGCGTCTGCCTCCCTCCTCTGGATTCAGGGTCTGAGCTGCTCCCTCCCCGCGTCACCCCCCGCCCCCTCACTTTGTAACGTCCACGCTGACCTGGCCCCTAAGGATCACCTGTGTCCACCGCCCCCCTCCTACCCCCCAATTCCTTGTGTCCTTAAAAATAATCAAGCCGGACCTAAGCTGCGTGGCCTCTCTGTGAGCGGGGCGATTGGAGAGGTGGGGGAGGACGGAAAGTGGCCAGGGGGTCCGGGGACAGGGCGGTGTGGGCTGCAGACCTCAGTCCCCAGTTTCTGGGAGAGAAATTGACAAGGTTTGGGCCAAGGCCGGGCGCCTGCAGCTCAGCCCTCGGAACTCTGCGTGCGCACCCAGCTCCCTGCGCCCGTCCCGCTGACTCCTGGGCACCGCAGGTGGGGATTGCAGCGGCGAGGTCGGGGATGGTGGGAGCTGCCAGGGTTTTTGTCTGGAAGCTGCGTGTGTTCCCCTCGTACTTGGGTTTTACGTTCACTGGGAGGATGGGACAAGGAGGATCTTCGCGGCGGTCCCCTGGCACTGGGCGCTGGGACCCTGCGCTCCTGGGATGGGACGGAATGGCGAAGTCTGAGAGCTGGCCAGGCCGGCCGGCCGGTGGCCAGACGGGTTATTCTTTCCTTAAACCGGTGTCAGCAAACACTTCCGGTCCGGGCCCACCAATGGGAGCGGGCGGGCGGGGAAGGGGGCTTGGTCCCTCAGTGTGGGAGCAGGGCTGGGGTGCGGAGGGATGAAAGATTTCAAGACTCCGAGCAGCGCCAGAGCGCGCGTCTGGGCGCAGTGGCTTCGGTTTCAGCCAGCATGCGAGCTCGCAGATGCCCAGGGGGCAGAGGGGGGAGCATCCGGGGCCGGGGCCTAGTGGGGAGCTCCGGGGAGCGGATGGGAGCAGGGATGGCAGCTGGGGTGTGCGCCTGTGGGCTTGACCCTTGAGCAGTTGGGCCTCCACTGCTGGGCTTCTCCGGACCCGCCCTGGGGGGTGGGGGTGGGGCGGGATGGCCTTTCAGACCCGCGTGGGTGCCAGCCGGCCAGTCCCTGGAGTCTGGGGTGGAGAGGGTCCCTGTCCTGGGGGGAAGGGAGGGAGAGAGATTTTAACACCCGTGGAGGCTGCAAAGGAAGGGGGTGTG